CTCTCTCTCTCTCTCTCTCTCTCTCTCTCTCTCTCTCTCTCTCTCTCTCTCTCTCTCTATGGAAAGTTACATAGTCATTAAAATTCTGTTGACCTTCATTAGGACACAATGAAAAGCAATCTGATACATATAAGCAGACAAATTAAAATCATAATGCCCGGCAGCTTTGTCTTGTTACTTTAACTACATGGTAAAGAATAACAGGGGGAACCATTTCACTGAGGACATGTTGCCTGGATATCTATGGAAAATGAATTTATCCAGATGTACATGTAAAAGACTATTTATTTTTCTTAGTAGGGACTTAAAAATCCTACTTTTAAACAAAATAGCTACGTATACTAGTGGGAGCAATACATTTAATAATAATGGTATTTATATGACAAAAGTTATATTTTCTCCTGAGGGTTCATAAATGCTAATCTGGAACAAAATAGGCTTGTTTGTGACTTTTGTCATTCTCTGAATTAGAAAGTGGGTTGGGCAATTTATGCTGGAAAGACATCGGGAAGCATTTCGCTGCTAAGTGATCTCAAGAATTGCCCATGTAATTGAAAAGGTCGAGTGTGGTTTAACATACATAATCCCACCCAACACTCAAGTAAATTTCATTTTTTTAGGAAGCTTCAGAAATAAAATGATTTGCAGGGGGCATGATTAAATTGACAGCTAAAACAGCTTTGACACCTGACCAGTTGTACATATACAGTAGATAATTGATATTCATACATTAGCTAGCCAGAACTTTTACAAAAATTAGTCTTGATGACAAGCTTCATTGACAACCTCCTATCTTGGATTTACACTGAGCTGTACCATGCAGTTCAAACAAAAAGTGTATATATTAATGAGACATTTCCTTATACGTTAATCAAAATATATGATTTTTTTTATTCAGCCAGCACAGTTGAAAGTGCGGCAGAGTAAAAAAATTATTCAGTGAACAGAGGATATGATGATAGTAACTTCTGCTGCTGGCAACCGGGAGGTTATTAGTAATGCACAACCTAGACCGCTTGTAATGAATGCATTGTCCAAGGATTTCTAGGCTATATAAATCACACTCACAGTGTGCTGCAATGAGGCAAAAATAGAAGTCATTATCTAAGTTTGCAATCTCATATATCACACTGGTAGATATGTAACTGCTTACGAAGGACACAAATATGATGCATATATATTATATGGCAACAGCTCTCTCTCTCACTCTGTATATATATAAACATGGGAGCGAGTTTGGAGCAGTGGCTACTTCACAACACACACAGGGTCCATGGGGAACAACAGTAGCCACCCTCCAGTAGGAAGGACAGTGTCAGCACAAATTCAGAGACAATTTGAGGCTCCACAGCTGCTTGATGCACAAATAAGGTACATTTTTGTTAATAATTAAGGTACTTGAATGCATTTTTAAGATTTAACTCCAGAGCTTGGTTTCACTTTAACTATCTGCACATGAATGAATAACTGAAGTGAATATTTACACAATTTATCAAGTTAATAGTCTCAAATCCCTTAGTAAATCAGCCTCGCTCTTTGCTTCTGTATTGTTCTCAGTATCTTTCTCAGTACCCTTTATTTCCATTCACATATTTTTTTTTCTTTATGGAAATATGCAGACACAAATGCCTTGGTGACAAAGTGTTTGCTGTTAAAGTTATTAATAAGTAGCATACATTAAGAACAACTCCGTAAATGTGGCAACTGCAAAACAGAATATTTACTTCATAGAACTGGCATGCAATAAAATACAGTTTAAAGAAATTGTAATAGGAGTGTAGCCATATACATTAGCCGATATTCATCAGATCCTGCAGCATCAGTCAAGAAGCTTGTGTCTCTGCACAATTTTGTTTGCTGTTGTTTCTTCTAGGTAAGTTGATGCCGGGTTCCTGATCCACCCCTTGTGATCTTCATTAAAACTAGCAAAACTAGATGTAAGATTGGCCAAGTGTACAGAAGACTCTGCAGTGCTCTAACAAAGTTTGCCCTGAGTGTGAGACTGCAGAGCCAGAAGTTGCCTTGGGAAAGAAAAATCCATACTGGACGAGTAGCTAGGACAAGATCCAGATACATTATTCCAAATGATATGTTGATTCCTCTAGGTTCGGGTATAGAGGTTGCCCTTGGGAACAAAGTAGGACTACCACAAGTGCCCAAACCTTGGCAAAAACACTGTGCGCAGAAGACAGACCAAACTATAGGGCCACAAACTGTGTAGTGTTGAGCCCCCACAGCAAATGAAGGCAGTGGTTATAATGGCTTCCTGAAGAAGGGGGGCTATGGAAGACCAAATGGATATATATATATATATATATGGAATGGTACAGGAGACTGCACCAAGAAGTGCTGTCAGCATAAAAAGAAAAGCAGATAGCTTCAGGGCACAAGCTGAGGTAGAATGATTGAAGTAGATGCAGATTGCTTGCTTCACAGCATAAAGATGTGGAGGTATTTCAAAAAATTTACAAGACTCATGAGTGCATCACTCAATAGAGGGAGGCCACATCTTAACCAATCAAGGGATATAAACTTTGAAAAAGCAACAAGCTCAATGCAAATGTTTGCTATTAAGACTAAAATTAAGGCCAACACATTTTGGAAATCTGTATCCCCTTCCTCGGGGGTACATACAAACAAATCATATCCTAAGCAAATATATGAAACATATTGCAATATTTCAGAATTACAAATATGGCTACTAATGCTACATTACAAAAAATGCGACATATTAACACAATATTAAAGCAACACAGTAACAAAATGTTAAGGTGTATTACATACCACCAGCCTCAAGCTGTATCAAACATGTCCATAATTCATCCTACAAGAGAAAAAAGGAATGTATTTAAATTTGATCATTACATTTTTTATTTATTTCTTTTGGTACCTCCTGCAGTGCACCTTTAGACTGGTAAGACATAAGCAGAAGTGGGTTATTCAAAATTGTGTTCTCATAGTTCTCCTTTAAAGGAGGTGTAAACACCCTGGTCAGCAAGTGGTTAAAATTAGAAATTAAAGTGACAGTAAACTCAAGAGTTAAATCTTAAAAATGCATTCAAGTACCTTAATTATTAGCAAAAATGTACCTTATCTGCATCACTTAGCTGTAGAACCTAAAATCATCTCTGAATTGAGATTCAGGACTACGATCTCACATTTAGTTAGCTAATTTGTATTGAGATTGTAGTCAATCACGGGAGTGAGCTTGGAGCAGTGGCTACTTTACAACACACACAGGGGCTATGGGGAGCAAAAGTAGACTGTTCATTCTGGTGGGGGAGCTGCATTGCTTTCCCATTCATTTGAATGGCACCCCCAAACACACCTCCCACCCACAGTTTGATCGCTTGCCCTGGAAGATGCAGTACCGCAATGCCATGTATTCCAGTGCGGTTTGGGTCGTGACTTAATGACCAAGGAGAAATGTGGGTCCTGAGGTTATACAGGTTGAGAACCACTGTTCTACAGGGGGAATTCTTTTGTTCCCCATGGTCCCTGTGTGTGTTGTAAAGTAGCCACCGCTCCAAGCTCACTCCTGTGATGGACTATAATCTCTGTTTACTAATTTGTATTGAGATTGTAGTCCAACATGGGAGCGAGTTTGGAGCAGTGGCTACTTCACAACACACACAGGGTCCATGGGGAACAACAGTAGCCACCCTCCAGTAGGAAGGACAGTGTCAGCACAAATTCAGAGACAATTTGAGGCTCCACAGCTGCTTGATGCACAAATAAGGTACATTTTTGTTAATAATTAAGGTACTTGAATGCATTTTTAAGATTTAACTCCAGAGCTTGGTTTCACTTTAACTATCTGCACATGAATGAATAACTGAAGTGAATATTTACACAATTTATCAAGTTAATAGTCTCAAATCCCTTAGTAAATCAGCCTCGCTCTTTGCTTCTGTATTGTTCTCAGTATCTTTCTCAGTACCCTTTATTTCCATTCACATATTTTTTTTTCTTTATGGAAATATGCAGACACAAATGCCTTGGTGACAAAGTGTTTGCTGTTAAAGTTATTAATAAGTAGCATACATTAAGAACAACTCCGTAAATGTGGCAACTGCAAAACAGAATATTTACTTCATAGAACTGGCATGCAATAAAATACAGTTTAAAGAAATTGTAATAGGAGTGTAGCCATATACATTAGCCGATATTCATCAGATCCTGCAGCATCAGTCAAGAAGCTTGTGTCTCTGCACAATTTTGTTTGCTGTTGTTTCTTCTAGGTAAGTTGATGCCGGGTTCCTGATCCACCCCTTGTGATCTTCATTAAAACTAGCAAAACTAGATGTAAGATTGGCCAAGTGTACAGAAGACTCTGCAGTGCTCTAACAAAGTTTGCCCTGAGTGTGAGACTGCAGAGCCAGAAGTTGCCTTGGGAAAGAAAAATCCATACTGGACGAGTAGCTAGGACAAGATCCAGATACATTATTCCAAATGATATGTTGATTCCTCTAGGTTCGGGTATAGAGGTTGCCCTTGGGAACAAAGTAGGACTACCACAAGTGCCCAAACCTTGGCAAAAACACTGTGCGCAGAAGACAGACCAAACTATAGGGCCACAAACTGTGTAGTGTTGAGCCCCCACAGCAAATGAAGGCAGTGGTTATAATGGCTTCCTGAAGAAGGGGGGCTATGGAAGACCAAATGGATTCCATTGAGAATCTATGAAATCAAATAAAGACAATCATGCTTGCAAATTAAGGAATTGGTGGATGCTCCCTTTTGTGATGATGGAACAGAGTAAGAGTAGTTTAAATAATTCACAAGAACAGCTGGATGTGACACAGGTAGGACAGCTTAAGTGGGGAGGGCCAAAATCTCTAAATGCCCTATAAGAAAAGGGTCATTGAGGATAGCAGTTGGATCCTCTGACATAGGTGTAGTTCAGGTGTAGAAATGTACGAACTGACTCAATGGTTCAGAGAAAAAAATCCTGGAGAACCCAGAGCTCTTGACAAGGGCAACCCGGGGCAAGGAAAACGAGGGTGAGTGGAAATGTAGCACCTTGCTTGTAGCACCTATGCTTCTAAATTGAGGTAGAAACTTGCCCTTACTGCACAGGAGAACCTACACGATATCAGCTAGCGTTGCACCAATCAGGCATTCCTCTTAAAACAAAGGGTCCATCAGGGTCCTCTCAGGGGTCTGTACAGCCAACTAGCACTAAAACACAAAGTCTAGAGTTCAGAGGTCTCGCATCCAGCCAGGCAAAACACACTTACTGAAGATTGTGAATTACGTGGTCCCATTACAACAGAACACCAGCTTAATTTTTAACCTCTTGAACAAAGGCTTTGCCCACTCAGGGGGCATTTAAGACACTAAGTGCTCCAAACAGGGCACAAATCTTTCCAAAACCAGAGCAAGGGCATCATAGGGATAGCCTGCCCTGAAATCCCGGTGATGTCGGGAAGGGGACCCGAAAGCGGTGGAGGGAGGGGTTAGTAGGTGCCTGTGTATCCATAGGGAAAGAACATGTGGGTCACAAACCTGGATGGGAAGAAACCTTAGCAAACTCACAGAGAATATAGTACTGCAAAGGGTTAAACCCTAAGACAAAATGGCAGTGGAAGGCCAGCCCTTTTAGCTTACTAGAAATAAAAGGAGGGGACAGGTGCAGTGCAAAATAGAGTAGTAGCCCCCAACAGGACTTACTACACCCTATGAGACCCAGGGGGACCAGCAAGGAGAAAAAGCAATGCCCGCAGCACTGTGTTCTCATGCACAGCCAGCAGCAACCTGTGCAGAGAACAGCAATCATCCCAATCATCCCAGCCTCAGTGTCCTCATAAAGGCAGCCAGATGATAACATTACTGAATGGCATCAGCCCAAACCAAAAATGGCTCCTAGGGATTCTAAAGCAACTGGAGCAGTGGCCACCAGGTCTTCCAAGGCAGCCATATGAAGCAGTGATCCCCATAGACCTGAAAAAACTATAGGGAGTGCCCAAGTAGACTATCATTGATCACTGACTCAGATAACCTTTGCAAACACAACACTGGGGGTACAAGAAGAAGAGGGGTACTCCCCCAACCACTCAGGCCTCTGACCCATAGCAAAGGGGGGGAAGAATGTCCATGTAATTACCAGCCACTACTGCAGTGGGGGTGCTGTCTGCCTGGAGGAACACTGTGACAGAGGAACAAGTCACACTGTCATTTGTGCCCCCCATAAAGAGCACTCACAGGCTGTCCCAATTCAGAATAAGTCTGTCGCAGCTCAGCTGTTGATTGAAGGCCTGGAAAACAGATAAAAAACAAAACAAAAATAATTCCCACCAAGGAGTATAGGCCCTAAGCCCTTGACACTTGGCTACCAGCAAGGGCTTATTTTGTGGTTAGTGCCCTGCTCCTGTAGGTGGTGCCAAAACTCCAACAGACAAGATCAAGTTCTCTGCTGTGTCCTTCAATGCACGGAAGGGAAATGCTAAATAAATGATAGGAATAAATCCAGCTTGTTCGCACATAACTACTTCCAACTACTTCCAATAAAGCTGTCAGATTTAAAAGAAGCAGGAAAACTAGATGTGGGTGAGACTACGTAGGCACATTCTTACTTAGTTTCTATGCATGTTACATGAAATACATATATTGAAAACTCCATTCTTCAGATAAAAAGATTGATAGGCTATGAATGTGTGTTTCCGTTTGTAATTGCAGCTCTGCATGATGTCAACATGTCAATGACACCTCAATCTAACTTGAATATATGAACATGCAAAGCACTTAACTCATCAATCCATCTTGCTGTGCTTCTGACAGCTCACTGCAGCCTCTATAAATTGTTTTGCCTGTAGTACATTTAAGTAGCAAAATCAATTGTTCAGATGGATTATAAAATGCATAAATAATCCAAAATTGATATTTGATGTTTACTCTTGTGACATGAAGATGATAAAAAAATAGCAATTCCCGGTGATTACATAAGTTATTTGTGGAGGTTTGTGTTAATAACATTGGCTCTGTAAGCCCACCTTTCAAGCCTACCCCCTGCAATTGAATAAAAAGTCAATAATGCTTCAAAGCCAATTAGTCCTAAACAATTTAACTGTCACCAATGTACTACAACACTTGCTAATTTCATAGGAAACATTCCTTCAGAGAGAAGAAGTGGAAACTAACATTGTTGTGGTTTTCTACAGCTAGGAATTATTTCCAGTGATAAAGATGCACTGAGCAGCCTAGCTGAACAGTACCCTACATTATAAATAGCTGTCAGAGGAGCAACTTGTTTCTACATTTCTCTTATTGCACCTCATTTAGCAGAGTGTGGTTTAATTATGAGAAGAGGACATAATAAAAGAGTAAATTATGTAACTGACTGTTACCAATCATGTGGTACAAATAATGGGCAAAACCAGTAGTGCAGCTTTAAAAAAATGACTTTTGTAGAATGTGGTATGCTAATTACCCATTCTACAAGGGTTTGGAGTCTGAGCAACCTATCCCCAGGCCAACGTTATGTCACATCCCCAGTACAAACACAAATGTTTCCCAGCACACTCACCAGCCAGCCTGCAAAAAAACAAATTACACTGTCCAAGATTTTGCATTAAAAACAGAGGTTTTAGTTGCACAACTTTTGCAAAATGTATGGAAGCCATGCCACATCCTTAGTCTTACTCACATGCGAAGCTGGTGTTTGTATAGGACAGAGGTCTCAAGCTCAATTCACTTCAAGGCCACTGGCCTAAATTCTTCTCCCATAAGGGCCGCTTGAGCGATATATTAAAATGTCATACTTCGAAACAAAATGTAACTATACACGGTATCAGTGTTAACTAGGGATATTCAGATATCAGTTCA